AGATGTTGTAGTAGATTCAACGCCGTCATACTGGTGAGTAGATGTTGTAGTAGATTCAACGCCGTCATACTTCATACTGGTGAGTAGATGTTGTAGTAGATTCAACGCCGTCATACTGGTGAGTAGATGTTGTAGTAGATTCAACGCCGTCATACTGGTGAGTAGATGTTGAAGTAGATTCAACGCCGTCATACTGGTGAGTACATTATGTTATAGTAGATTCAACGCCGTCATACTGGTGAGTAGCTCACAAAATTACGGTACATACTGGTGAGTAGATCACAAAGTTACATACTGGTGAGTAGATCACAAAGTTACATACTGGTGAGTAGCTCACAAAGTTACAGTACATACTGGTGAGTAGATGTTATCGTAGATTCAACGCCGTCACACTGGTGAGTACCCGAGGAGAAAATGAAATGATCCCTGCGAGTATCTCAGAAATCAGTTAAAAATAAACATTGTACTTAATGAATCTCTGTTGGTAAATGTTGGGTTACTGTGGCTTACATTCGTACATACATATACATGTACATTAATTTGCTTAATTTAGCTTTAATATGAGCTGTTCGGCACTTGCATGGCAATTATCTCAATACGGCTCAAAGACTAGAGGTGCCACGAGAGTGTAGCATACAAAGACAGAGAGGATGGGAGATATACAGTGGGTGCTTGATAGGGAAAAGACGAGCAAGCCACACCAGAGCGCCCGCCAACCACTCATAAGCTATACTACCTAGATACATACGTAGTTAAGTACAAAAGCATACAGAAAACAGTATTTTGTCAAAGTTACCAAAAATTACAACATCACACCAAAGCAGACAACTTAACAAACCACAACATTGCTGGTCGCCACTGTGTCGCACCGTGTACGGGTATCTTTGGTCAACTGGACCCAGTAATGGGTGATCGGGTCGGATTTATTTATGACACTGGTTTTACCACCAACGCACTGTGTAAGTGTATGGGGGTATGTTGTACTCCAGTTCCAACATTAAAAATGAAGAAAATTGAGCGCAGGGCAGTAACGAAGCTTTTATTCTTGCAAGACAAGCAGCCACAGGATATTTTCACGGAGATGCACGCCACATATGGAACTGATTGCCCATCCTATGCTGTGATACAATGTTGATGTAAACAATTCAAGTGTGGATTCATGGACATTGAAGATGACTACCGTGATGGTCGCCCGGTGACAGCAACAACAGAAGAGAATGTGTTGAAAGTCAAGGAACTTGTGTTGTCTGATAGGCGTGGACAGTCGAACGTTTGAACAAAGAAACTAGGCTTAGCTTTGGATCAGTTGACCGAATCTTTAATGAACATTTGAACATGACCAAGGTTTGTGCGAGATGAGTCCCACGTTTGTTGACTCGTCCTCCAAAAGTACAACGTGTGGATTGTTGTCCAGAATTGCTTGGTCTGTAGGAAAAGGATGAAATTAGATCTAGATCTAAATGGTTTGACTTTCTACCTTTACTCCTTCAAGGTCAGGTAAAACAACTGTTGGTGTGCCCCTGGTATATCAGACAGAGTTCTGCCTTGTCACGTGAGAAAAGAACAACTGTCGTGACCTGAAAAATGAAATGTTTTGTTTTTTGTTGGAGGATGTGATCAGATTGTGCTGGTTTAACGGACATCCTTTCAACATACAACCACGAGGTACAGTCAGGTCATACATATGCATGCTGTACTCACGCACGCACGCATACACACGTACAGACGCATGCACACACACACACACACACACACACACACACACACACACTCACACATGCACACACTCACACACACACACAGGTTGGATTATACGCTATTTTACAAATCTAGAACATTCTTGTCATTTGGTCATGAAGAAAAATGAGTTATGAGGTGAGAACGGTCTGTTCG